GATGGAGATAAGGATGAGGGAGGCTGTGGCTGTTTGAAAGGGAATTGTGAGAAGAAGGGAGGTGGTTGCGAGGAGTTGGGAGATCAACCAGAGGTAGGGGAGGTTGCGGTGGTGAAGGGTGGTGGAGATGTGGGAGAGGAGGGTTAGGAGGAAGGTGGACAGGAGGGTCCCTAAGGAGACAGCGAGGGACGCGTAGAGGATGTAGGATTCCGGGGGGGCTACTGGGGGGGAGGGTTCGAGTTTGGGGGTTCGGAGGGATTCGGATTGTGCTGGGAGATGTTAGTCTGGATCGAAATGGGGTTTGTAGAGAGGGCATTGGGTGATTACCCGTTTCGTAAGCATACCTAACGGTTGTGTTAGTCCATCGACAGACCCAAACATAAACAAGCCAAAGGGAATCACCTACGTAGACATGTTGAACAACACCGGGAACCACCCAAACCACGCAACTAGTTGCACGCCACACACCCTTCCCGTCAGCGGCGGCATCCGCGCCCAGCGCCGCGCCAGCTCGCTCGGCAGACACATGGTGAAGACACGCCTGATCCCGGACCCGGACTGCTGGAGCGGCGGCGTGGCATCGCGCGGCACGAACCAGCAGACCAGCCCGACGGTGGCCGCGGAGCAGATCGTCGCGACGTACGCCAGCGTGCGGAACGCGACCACGGGGTCGGTGTCTGGGGACTGCGTGGTGTAGACGAAGCCGGTGACGGAGAGCAAAGCGCATCCGAGAACATTCCAGCGCATAGACCAGGCGGCGGCGGTGGGTTGTTGAGACGGCGGGCAGGCCTCGACGACGATGGCGCGCACGCCAACGGAGTAGGCGGTTATCGCCAACAAAATTACTACCAGGCAGGTAACGGCGAGGGCACGCGGCTGCCAGGGGTTTGCGGCCCGGCTTTCGGTGAAGGGCACGGTGAGCTCGGGGGCGTGGGCCATAAGCAGGGTGGAGATCATTGTGGTGAGCGCGCCGGCGATCATGACTGGCTTCCGGCGGCCGAGCGGGTGATGGAGCTCGTCGCTCAGCTGGCCGATGATGGGCTGGACGAAGGCGCCGAAAATTGGGCCTAGGGCCAAGGTTAGGGATATGGAAGAGGGTGTCATGCCGAGGGAGCGGAGATATGGCTGGGTTTTTGTTAGTGCACTATAGTGATGGGAAGGGATGGATGACGGACCGTGCCGCTGGATTGTAGTAGGAACCAGCAGACTTGGAGCCCGAGGCTAGGACATGTTAGAAGGAGTAGGCCGGGTGTGGATAGTGGTTCGGGTAGTTTCGGGCCGTGGAGCTCGTCGACCTCGAACAAGAGTTGTTCATGTTCTTCGGAGTGAAGGCTTTCATTTGGTGAAAGGCATGGCTCGTACGCAGGTGCGGCCATTGCTAGGTGATGATAATGGCTGGTTTAGAGCAAGAGAGAGGTGTTCACCATTTAGAACCTGTCTTGAACTGCTTCTATGCCCTAATTGCTCGTGCTGGATGCGGAGGTATTTTTGCCGTGCCGTAGCATATATCGCAGAGGCTGCGTTAATGTGAAGTGCTATGGAAAACTGTTGTGGTGGTTTGTTTAATATTTATATACAGCGTATAAGCACCTCAAAGCACCCCTGCTGGTATAGACTACGTCCAAAAAATAGAGTTTGACAGGGTTCGGTCTACGTCCACAGTAGAAGACAAGTTATTTGGCCTGGGTAACAGCTATTATACCAGCACCGCCCCCCTCAGCTTCTGACTATCTCCCAGAAATTCCCCATTCATTCCATCTCAGAAGAAATCTGTCTCCTCTATTTCTCTGCTGTCCCAGCGACTGCAACTGCTGATAATGCCCTCAACCGAGTATCACCAACTTTCGGCGTCTAGAGACGAGGATCTAGACGATGTTTCTTTCACACACCAGGATCAATATGTCACGCCAAAGAAAAAGTCTCTTCCCATTCGTGTTTTAGGGGTGCTAGTTGCGTTCCTAGGGCTAGTGTCTTACACGGCGGCGGTGCTGTACTATGCGCAGGAGTTCATTCACAAGCCGTACTGTCCGCGGTTTGCGGCGAGTGATACGGTTCACCTGTGGGTGAGTTGCCTCCCAAAACCACCACATGGTCGATGGTATCTCTAACAGAAGAGAACAGGACAAAATCGGGTACAAGCCCATGCATTTCAACCCAGCCACACCACATCACTCCGATGCCTTCCTCGGCAGCCCAAGCGCCGAACTCGACGCGAACTGGCGCAAGCTGCTGTTGAGTTAGTCCTCCCGGCGCTCATCTCTGTAGGCTACACAGACTGAATTGATACCCAGCGTTCTCGAGTCGGCTCCCCGATTCCGAAGCAGACAGGCTGGGTCCTAAATCGGACGCCATTCCGTTCGATGACGGCAAGGGCGGCTTGTAATTCCACACAAATTCACAATGATTAGGAGAGTACTGAGAAGTCCAGCGTCGGCGGCATCGCCGTGGTGCACAATCTGCACTGCATCGTGCGTCAATCCTCCCGTCTTCTGCGGTGTGTACTAACAACCCGCTTGCCAGAACTACGTATACCAGACCATGCACGGGGACTACTACTTCCCCAACATCACCGAGAAGCAGCTTAAAAAGCAAAGAAGCCACCTTTGTGTGTTTTCCGTTAAGTAACCGTTGTTGATGATGCTAACCGTTGCCAAAGCACACTGCCTCCACCACCTCATGTCCTCGGCCAAGTGTCAGGCTGATATGACGCCGGTGCTGCTGCACTGGACGGCGGACGACCATGTCCCGGTCCTGAAGTGGGACGGTGTGCAGCGGTCCTGCGTGGACTGGGAGAGCTTGATGAACTGGGGGGATGAGCACTCGATGACGCACTCGGAGACTATGCCGTCGGTTTCTAGTAAGCAGTATATATCTTCCTTTAGGCCACATAACCACATCTTGCTAACATTCTATCCTTCTGCAGAAATGAAGCACCCCATCTACAGTAAGCAGGCTAGGTTCGTACTTGGTGCTGAAAAATCCGGCTTACATAAACAGGTCACTTCGTCGATGATCGCGGCAGGTTCATCCTTGCCAACGCTGAGGGAGTGGTTGACTTTGAGGAGTTCTCGCAGAGAGCAGATTACCAGCAGTGGGCGAGGGAGCAGGGCATAGGAACGGGGAAAGAAGAAGCGGAGCGGTTTTTGGAGGAGTTTGCTAGAAAGCAGAATGATCATCGTCATTGAGTACTGGATTTGAGGAATTGCGAGGTTGGTTGGTGATGTACCTAGCTAGGGGTACGTATGAAGCTTCCGGATTGACGCATATTATCTGGTTTATCAATAGACTCGCTACTCGGCGACACACAGTTCAGATAGCATGGCCCCGGGGCTTCTTGCTTCCATCTCCACAACTAAGTTGTCTGGGTGAAAGTCGGTCTACCGGTGAATATCTGATTGGTCACACGATGAATCCAGTGGAAAAAGAAGGACTTTCAACAACGAATAGGTCATGTGGCCGCATGCAAACGAGAATTCCCTGCACCTGAGTCGAGCAAGCGGACAATTCGAAACCCGGGGAGAGTCCCCCGCTCCTTGGCCAAACAAAACCACACGCCCCTAGAAATTACCGTTTGTCTGCTAGTACCCCCTTTCGGCATTTGCGAGAGCAGCCGCACCCCCCCCCCCCCCCCAAGATATTGCCCATTTCCACAATACCCATCAACGTCTCAGTCATGACAGTCGGGTTCGGGCAGAAGGAGCCGCCGCCCATGCCTGCGATAGATTCTCCCGGCCCAGTTTCCCTCGGATCATCTGTACATCGTACGTTCGAGTCCAAGCTTGATTACTATCAGATCTCCATCACTGAACACTCCTCCCAATCTGCTGTGCAAACTGCCACCTCGCCTTCATCTCCCATCTTCCAGTATCCTACATTCCATATTCACAATGCCCCCATCTCCAACAGCGTCTTCGGGCGAGCCCAGCACCGGGCGCTCATCCTCCGACTATGACGAGAAAGTCGGCCTGCTCGACGGCGTCCAATCCAGCCCTCTGGCCGGTGCGTCGCCACGGATTCGCCGGGCTGTCATATTGATGGCACTGTCCAACGTCGTGTCCCTGTGTGCGCTGTTCTGCATCGCGGTGAGGCCACAGCCGGTGCCGACCACGGTGTTGTATCCGCCGCAGCCGGACTGGTTTCCTCCACAGAGTGCGTTCGCATTCGCTTGATCAGGTGGTTTGTGTATAATCTGATGTTGATTGGGTGTGAACTAGTTCCCGTTACCAAAGTCTTCCAGAGCGAGCCGCTATTTGGGCAGGAGCCGAACAACGAGAGTATCGCTGCGTGGAACTCGCTTTTGCCAAGTCAGTCTTCTCGAGTGCCTCCATCGTTGTAATATGGTATGTGCGGTTGTCTAACAGAAAGAAAACAGAGGGCCGCGGCTGGGTCCACGTGCGCAACCAGACGGCCCTCCCAGACATGCCAGGCCTGAACCAGTCTCTTCCCGAACACACAGCGCTGCCCTCGGTATACCATCAGCTGCACTGCCTCGTACGCAACTCTCTCCCCTTATTTACCCTCCCACCCGAGATCCAAACCGCTGACACCCAAGCAGTACAGCACAATGCGCAGCTACTACGACCTCCTAGACCGCGTCAACAACCCGCACCAGAGACGCGAGCTCCCCGCCGACCCGGGCTGGAACAAGGAGCACCTGAACCACTGTTGGGACTACCTGCGGCAGAACATCATGTGCGCGGCAGACGTGACGCTGGAGTGGCATCGGTGGAATGAAAAGGTCGAGACTGGCTGGGGGTATGAGCACCAATGTAAGGACTGGGATGCATTGACGGGGTGGGTGCTGGAGAGGCGGACGTCGAACAACTGGGGCTTGTTGAGGGGAGAGGGGGAGAGGATTCCGCTGAAAGAGAACTCGTAGTGAATGGATTGTGTCGTCGGTTGGATATGTAAAGTTAATATGTTGCGGTTTCAAAAAGCCAGAATTTCATACATATATAAATCTGCATTGTGTCGTTACTCCAAACACGCTACCAAATACGCTAATTGGAAGTTTTGTCACCGACTTCAACCGTAGCATCTTTCTCCAGCCCAAAGTCAGTCTCCAACTCCTCCCGCAAGACGACCTCCCCCTCGGCACACGCCAACAAGACGCCAACACCCGCGATGCCAGCCGCAACATACCAAACGCCCTTGATAGCCTCTCCAAATACTCCCACCACCTCATCCCTCGTAGTACCCTGCACACTCTCCAAAAACGCCCGGGTCGCAAACCCATACGCCCGTCCGCCGCCCAACTGGTCCCTGACCCGCTCATCCGATATCCTATCCGCAAGCGCCTCCAACCTATTGTTGAATACCGCGGCCGGGATCGTCACACTCCACATGTTAGCCAGGCTCTGCACAAACGTGAACGTACTCGTAGCAACCGCCTGGTCGCTTTCCCCCACTGCACCTTGAAACGCCGGCAACAATGTGTTAATCACCATGCCCAGTCCGACCGAAAACAGCACCTCCATTAAAATCCACTCCGCATCTCCCGACGCCTCGTCCAAAACACTAAACAGCCCGCACGCGGTGCACATCCCCACAAACCCAGAAACATGCAGCATCTTGTACCGCCCGAGCTTACTAACCAAGACGACGGAGATGATGCTCGCGGGGACGGCGACAGCAACGATGGGAAGCAGCTGCACGCCGGCCCGTGAGGGCGTCGACATGCGCACGCCTTGGAAGTACAATGGCAACAAAAAGTTGACCCAGTTGCTGAGGAGGCTGCTGGTGAACGCCCCGGCCGCCACGGTAGCGCCCACCCGGTGTGTAAGCAGGCGGAGCGGGATGACCGGCTCGACGGTATTGCTGCGCGCGAGGTATTGCTCCAGGAGCAAGAACACGCCCAGTCCAAGCGTACCGGCGGTCAGCGAGGCGACGATACGGGCGTCATACCAGGGGTATTTGGACCCGGCGTACGTGATGGCGTACAACGTAGCGCCCGTCGCGGCCGTCAGCAACACGTTGCCGCCGTAATCCACGCGCCGGAGACGCTCGCGACGGCTTTGGTTTGCCTTCCTGGTCCCGCCTTTCAAACAGACAGCCAAGACCAAAAGGCTCGCCGCCCCAAACGGCACGGGCAGCCAAAACACCCACCTCCAAGCGCCGGACTGGACCAGTACGCCCCCCAGCAGCGGACCACTGGTAGCGCCCAAAAGGTATGCAGCCAGCATGATAGCCATGTACTTACCTCGGTGCCGGACTGAGACGAGGTCGGAGACGACAACGGCTGACATGACGTTGATGCCGCCCGCTCCGAGGCCTTGGACCACCCGTCCGGCAATGAGCTGCAGACCGGAGGTTGCCGCGCCAGAGATTATCCCGCCGACGACGAAGAGAAGCACAGAAAGGCAGGTGGGATAGCGGCGGCCGAAGAGGTCGGATAGCTGGCCTAAAGGCGGGGCTATTGCTGCGCTGTGCAGCGGGGTTGTCAGTCGTCGAGTATAGTAAGTACCAGTACCTGTCAAGTCGGTATGGAACGATTGAGAGGGGTGTGGACCGGCGAACGAGGTGCGTTGAAGAATGCAAAGCCCAGAGAACTGGCGAGAGAACTGGCGAGAGAACAAGCGAGAGCGAGAGAACAAGCGAGAGCGAGAGCGAGAGAGAGAGAGAGACAGAGACGAACCTAGCCAGCGCAGACCCGTTGGAAACCCACACATAGCTCGACCCAATGCCCAGCGTCTGAACAATAGTCGGCAGGGCGGTAGACACAATAGTGATCTCGAGTGCCAACATCAGCTTGCTGGCTGCCAAGGCCGCGACGATGGCCCAGAAGCGGAGCCCTTTTGCGCGCGCTGCAGTGACTGACTCATTTGGCTCCATGGACGTGTCGGTGGTCTCCGGGTCCGGAACGTTCGGACGAACACCTTGTGGGGCCTGCTGAGCCATCGTGGATGCGAATCAGAAGTGGATAGAGCAGCGTTACACTAAAACGGGATGGCAGCTGACGGGAGGAGCGCCTGATGGGACGGCGTGGGATCACGATTTGTTAAATAGACTTTAGGGCGATTGTGGGGTGCCGTTTACTCCGGCCCGTACCGCAGGTTGCATCGAGACTTTTCCAAATCCACCCCGCCTCTCTCACCCCCCCCCCTGCTCCTAGTATACGATGTACAGCAGCACAGTAGAACATGCATGGTATACAGCCATGTTATGGTCTCAGTCGCGTAATGAAAACAAAATAAGGTTCATCAAAGTCTCCTGTCTTGTAACCACTTGATCATGGTGGGTATCAGCACACTAGGTAGCAAGCGCATCTCCACCGATCATTAATTTCGCAGAGCCAGGGCCACGCCTCCCGCTGCGCGGCTTGCTGGCTGGCTTGCTGTGTGCATTGGGCGGTTTGTGTGTATCGCTGTAGCGGGGAGTTATCTTGATCTAAGCACAAGTGCAAGCAGCTCAGCGGGGCGACGGCGTAGGTGCTAGTCTCTACTGGTCATTAGATATTGTAGGCACAGATAGGTCTGGTGAAAGCAGTCTTGGAAAAAGCACGCCCTGCCGGTTGTGTCGCTCACATTGCTTGTTTGTGAAACAAAAAAGGAAAAATTACTAACCTCAGTACAGCAAGGGAAAGAAATCTGGCGATATCATGATCTCAAGACAAAGATCTTCTCCAGGAGTAGTATTCAAGTTGCTTGTCTCAACAAACTTGAACCTGCCTAACAACAACAACATCGTCCAAAACATCACCACAAATGCTATCTACCAAACCAGAACCCCTTTTCATATCACTTCATAACAATGCCAATCAAACTTCCCCTCAGCCACCCCAAATTCTGTTCCGCGCCTGCCCTCAGAAACTCCAGAGCAGCCACCCTCCAACGGCTCAACTCCTCCTCCGTACTACCCCAGAGCCGTGGCGCAATGCGCATGAAGTACACCAGCATGACGCCGACAACCATCGCGAGTTTGCACACAAACACATCATCCACAATCCCCGCCGTGTGTGTTTTGTAAGCTTTCAAGAATGAACGTAGTAAACCCCTGTCGCCGTACTTGTCCTCCAACACCATCGCTTCAACGCACCACATGCCCACATCCCCCGCTGCTTCGCCGAACTGCGCGAGTTCCCAGTCCACGATGTAGATGTCCGGCGCGCTATTGCTGTTGTCGCTGTCGTTGCTCTTGATATCGGAGCCAACTGGGAAGCGAAGGAGGGCATTCATTGGCCGGAAATCCCACGCTGTCATCGTGCGCACCGTCCCCGGCCGGCGCAGCGCCGTCAGAATCTTCTCGCTCTCCTCGCCATCCTTCACCACAGACTGAACGAGCTTGTCCATGAATCCGTCCGGATTGTAAAACCGCCTCAGCTCCGGGTTTACCGGCTCAAAACCGGATGCCCCCAAGGCCGCGCCCGTGACCTGTAGACAGCCCAGCCACTTGCCGATTCGCGCGCCGATGCCCGCCACGTCCAACGTTGGATTGTTCCGGAACGCGTCCATCAGGTTCACCTCCCCAGCCCAGGACATGACGAACCCGTTCTCCGTGGTCCTCAACACTCTCGGCACGCGTACGCTGGGTTCCGCGCGCGACGCCTCCGCCACGGCGCGGGATGTAAGCGCGCGGACCTCGGTGGTAAGCCGGGCGGGGGATACGGCATCGTCGCTGAACTTGGGTGTGCTATCGGCGCATTTCAGCACGGCTGGCTCAGCGGGCGGATGGTCGGGGTGCAAAAAACCGTCCAGTCTCCAGATGAAGCAGGATGTGCCGGCGTCGATGGGATTCGCGGAGTTGCAGGTGATGCCATTGTCGGCGAGGTATTGATCTATTCCGGCGGCCCAGAGGCGCGGGTGGGGGGGTTGGGTTTTTGCTGTTGACATTTTCTTGGGGTTTGACTTGGATGATGTGTAGGACTACCTAGCAGAGGTCGGCGCTGTGGGAGAGATCTATCTCGGGTTTTATTCGTTTGCCGAGGAGGGCTGTCGGTGACGGGCGCGGTTGTCGAAAAGGTGTCTTGGGGAACATGAGTGGCACGTGCGTGTGATACGGTGTATATATATATATATATATGCTGGGTATGGACCACCACACCATGGGTTCTTTGTATCTTGCTTTCCTTCACAACGCATTCAAGCCACCTGTCCGCAACCACCAGGCTTGTCTCACAGCGCGCCAATATGGCATCTACAGGTGAAAAGCTCTTCGTCCGCAAAATCGAAGAAAACGCCCGCCTGGTTCCCACCAACATCTTCGCGCGCGTTCCGCTCGACGACTGGGAGACAAACGGCTACCGTTCCATCACCTGGAAGCAGTACAACGACAGCATCAACAAGATCGCGCACTGGCTGGACGAGACGCTCGGCAAGTCGGTGAACAATGACACGGTGTCGTACTTCGGGGCCAACGACATCCGCTATGCGCTTGTGTTTGCTGCGCTGAATAAGTCTAACCGGAAGGTCCGTCAACCCTTTTTGGACTGTGCTCGAAAACACACTGAAGTGTGTGGAGAAATAGCTGCTCACCCCTGACGGCCGACTCATGAAGAGCGCGCTGCACGGCCTCTTGTCCGCATCCAACTGCAAAGTGTGGCTGTACACCGAGGACGAGGTTGCCGCCCAGACCTCGTTCGGCCTCGACGAAGCCGGCATGGCGCTACACGCCTTCCCGTCCCTGAAGTGGTGCCTCGACGCCGAGGATACTCCGCCATACCCGTACACAAAGACGTACGAGGAGCACAAATGGGAAGAAATCTTGATCATCCACACCTCCGGCACGACCGGCCCGCCAAAGCCCATCTACATGAACAACGGCTTCTGGACGGCGGCCTGCGCATCGCCGCAACTGGCCAAGCGGAATTGGCCAAGGGGGATCTGCACCGAGGAGCTGTATGGTAGGAGTCTGATCCTGGCCTGTCCGATGCGCTGGAACTCGGGGCTGATCCTGACCAACGCGTTCGGCGTGTTCGCGAATACCTGCTGCGTGCTGCCGCCGGCCGACGCGGTAGGCCTGCCGCCCGCCATGTTCGACAAATTCGTCAAGCTCAACCACGTGGAAGGGCTGGTGGCGACACCGTTCACCATCGTTGAGCTGTTCAACGACGCCACGACCTGCTCGACGCTCCAAGGCCTGGAGTTCGTCACGTACCTCGGTGCGCGGCTGGACAAGGTTGTCGGCGACGCGCTGGTGCAGCACACGCGCCTCGGCTCTGTGATCGGCGCCACCGAAACCGGCGGGCGGTTCTCGTTCCTGCCGAGGGAGAAAAGGTTTTGGCACACGTACGACTTCATCTCCGAGGCCCACGTGCGCCTTGTTCCGATTGACAAGTCGGGCCTGCCGACGAGTGCGGCCGAGGACAGCGATGTGTACCGCATGTTCATCGATCGGCCGGAAGGGAAGATCAAGGAGTACATGTGCGCGTTTTGGAATGTGCGGATGTTTGAGGGTGTCGACACGATCGATACAAAAGAGTTGTGGCGGCCGGTGGATTGCGATGGGGAGGTACGGTGGGAGTTTTTTGCGCGGGCTGACGACTCGGTCAAACTGTTTGGCGGGGTGTCTTTCGACGCGACCGAGTTCGAAACGCCGATTGCGAGACACCCCGGTGTTCGGCATGCGTTCGTTGGGGGCGCTGGGCGGCCGGCGCCTTTTGTGATTCTCGACATGTACGAGGATGCGGTGCGCGGACGGGACAGAGGCGATGTTGCGAGGGAGGTCTGGGAAAGGTGCATCGAGCGGTTGAATCACCAAGTTGTCAAGGAGATCCGGATTCCGGCGGAGACAGTCATGGTGGCGGCCGAGGGGCGGCCGTTGCCGTTGAGCATGAAGCAGCTTGTGCTGCGCACGCGGGCGGAAGGGGAGTACCAGATTGAGATACAGGCGGCGTATGAGAAGCTAAACAAGGGGAAGGACAGTCGGAACAAGTTTGCCGAGTTTATGAAATAGAAAGTAGACGGCTCCCGTCTGTAGCTGCTTGTAAGGAGTTGAGATCACACAATGTTGGTTCTCGCTGCCCTGCGGCACTGACTGCTCTAAAAACTACACTTCCATTCCCGCTATACATCAATATCCTCCAGATCCTTACTCAACCAAACGTCCCGCGTAACAGTAGTATCCAACGGCTTCCTCTCATACCCAAGCGCCAAAATACCCCGATTGTTCGTGATCCAGTGCTTCTCGAGCCAGTCGTAGATCCGGCCCCAGTCTTTGCACTGCCGCTCATAGCCCCAGCTCGTCCTCTCGTGTTTACCCCGTCACTCGACTGTCAAATCGGAATTCTGAATCTTGGGAGCTCCTTACACGGCATGATGTGGCTTCAAGCCTTCAACTCGTCCTCATCCGGCGGACGTGTAAAATCGTCGTTAGCATCGACGATGGCAGTGACTGGGACTATAGGCAGCGGGTTAACAAGCACGAAACCCTTCGGAAAAAATCACTTACTCTCAGGCGCAATGCAATGCGGATATCTATTCAGCACACACAGCCTCAAATTATCGCGGATGACAAGTAGCGCTAGCACAGACGACAGCGAGATGAAACTTAACAACGACAGCAAAACCGTTGGCCCAAGCTTCTGCTGCTGCATATTTCCGCTTCAGGTTATTGCCGTGGAGTGCCTCTCGAACCCATACGAACGTCCAAAAAATGAAATAACAGACGAGACCTTGATTAACCCCACCCCCTTCGGGGTGTGTACGTTAACAACAAGGTTTACCCCCCCCTCCGCACCCCCCCCCCCCCCCACCCCAGCTGAACACAGTGAAGATGAGTGTCACTCTGCCCTGCCAGAAAATAAACTTTTGCGACAAAACTTGCCAAGGTAGAGGCTCCACATTAGCGCGGCACCCATACCCGATGAGCCTCTAAAACAAGACCATAATTCAACTGCAACTGTCAAACCGCAGCCCCTCATTGTCTATCGTCACCTAATCTACGGATACATCCGAACCACAATCTTCTCCCCAGAGAGTTTCTTATCCCGACTCAGCTCCATCCCCGCCATAATCGCCTCGAACCCGCCATCCAGCACCCTGAGGGGATGATGCTTTAGCTTTCCCTCAGCAACCAGCTCCCTCGCCACGTCCCACAGCTTCACCCCGAATTCTTTCAGTTCTTCGTCCGGCTCGCTCTTGTACGGCGCAGGCCAGGTGCAACCCTCGCCAAACACCCTAGGCCCGACAGTGAAGTCGCACTTGACGACCTTGCGCGTGGCCGCGTGCTCCTGCCACGGGTCCAGCGAGACGTACTTGCCACCCGCGCGGCCGATGGCCGCGAAGCAGAGGATGGTCGACTCAACGCTGGTGATGCAGTCGAGGGCGTATCTCAGGTTGTTTCTTGTGTAAGATTTCTGCGGGATGTCGCTTGTCAGCCGGACACAAATCGTGATGCATGCCCGCCCAATGCAGGGAAACTAAAAGTGCCCGGCGGGCAGTAAGAGAAGCTTAAGAGAGAGAAAGAAACTTACAATCTTCTGTGCACAATCCTTGTCATGCCTGTCAAAAACCTTCTCGGCACCGTTGCTCCTCGCCAGGGCAAAATTCCTGGGCGAGCACACCGCAACAGGAATCAACCCGGACCTGGATCCCCGTCAGCACCACCCATGCGTCAAACCACAGCGTGTGATAACTCACAACTTCAAGAGCTGGATAGCAATCGTAGCTGTAGCCGTACTCCCGCCATACACCAGCACATGCGCGCCTGTCTTCACCGGCTGATCTGGCAGCGGCAAGCCCAGCAGCTTCAGGGCCAAGCCGGCGGTGCAAAGCCCTACGGGCAGACTGGCGGCAGCCTCGAAACCCCACGAGTCAGGAATCTTCATCCACATGCGGCCACGAGTTACGTTGTAGCCCGCAAACGCCCCGCGCTCTGGGCTCCCTTGGAAGAGCTCGTTCTGCGCCCCGCACACGCGATCGCCTACTTGCACATCAGTCACGTCTACCCCGATAGCGACGACCTCGCCTGCATAGTCCGCTCCAAGGATCGCATGGGGGACAGCGAACGGCCCGATCATCTTGGTGTCGCTGGGATTGACGCCGACGGCGTGTACGCGGACGAGGACTTGGTCTCGTGGCAGGGACGGGAAGGGGCAGTCGTAGCGAATGATGACATTGTCGTGGTCGTCGACAACTAGGCCCGATTGGGTGCTAGGTGGTACAAACGGGCTGGCCATTTTTGCGAGGAGTGGCAAGGGGACGGGGCAGGGGGCGGGGGAAGAAAAGAGACGGTCTGGTATATGAGAATGCAGTACACCAGTAAAGTTCTCCTCTATTTATATTGGTAGAGGCGGTGAGGGTAAGAGTTTAAGATTCTAATATGCATGCGTCTTGAATTAGCAGTTGCTACTGCATAGTATATCGATTCGTGCGCGTCTGATATGCACAAATAGCCCCTCTCCCACGCCCCCCCCCTTAGCCCCTAGCCCAGTCATACAACGCAACGGCGTATTCTCTAAACAACTGTATCCCTCAAACCATTGTATATTAACCCGGTGCCATCAGTTGTAAGTCCTGTCACACGCAAACACCTCGTACATCTTCACACCACATCGGGAAACTACTCTCGTGGCAAAGTCTTTTTTTGTCTTTCACTATGGGCCTCTCCAGAAAACCCTCCAAAGCAATCCTATGCATGCACGGCGGAGGAGCCTCTCCTGACATCTTCCGCTTCCAGACCTCCTCCCTGCGCGCCGCCCTGGCCCACGAGTATGACTTCCTCTACGCGTCCGCCCCGCACCTCGCCACACCGGGGCCCGACGTACTCCCATTCTTCGCGGGCATGGACCCGTTCTACAGCTGGTTCAGGCCCGTACACGACGATCCTGCCTCGGAAATCGTCACATTTAACGAGGCGGTGCACAAAAGTGTCGAGACGTACACGAGAAGCAACCCCGGCGTCAAGATTGTTGGGGTGCTGGGCTTTTCCCAGGGCGCGGTAGCGTCGACGATGCTCCTGTGGCAGCGGCAGGTCGGGCGGGTGACTTGGCTGCCCGATGTCAAGTTCGGAATTCTCCTCTGCCCCGGCTACAGTGCTGTCGCCACTGAGTACATGCGGGACATTTGCGAGCGAGAAAACCGCGGTGAGGAGGGGATTGTGGTGCAGCTGCCGACGCTGCATTTGCACGGACGCCAGGATACTGTGAATTTGCCGCAGTCGAGAAGGATGTACGCGACTCATTACAGGGGCGCGAAGTTGACCGAGTTTGACGGTGAGCATGAGGTCCCAAGGAAGGTCGGCGATGTCAAGAAAGTGATTGAGTATGTGCTGGGGACCCCTGTCTAGAACAAATAGAGTGGAATGTGGAGTCGGGGCTTGTGTGGATTGGATTCGTAGGTCTGCTTTTGGTATTGCTGTTATGCAGAAGCCCCTAGTGTGGACACAGCCTGTTCGTCCACAGACTGATGCAACACCTCTTTGTTGCATACGTCGAGTGCAGCAGACATGGTGTCCAGAGTCTGAAGAAGTAGTCCATGATAGAACTTGTAATTCATGCAGAACGACAGTAATCGTACGAGGTCAGCGTACTGTCGACCCAGTTCGTGATTGAAACCGGACCCAGCCTTATCAAGCCTTGAAGACGTCATATTCCGTCGTCATATTATTGACCTCGCGAACCCGGAAAACACCAACTTTGGATCTAACTTCGCTGTGCAATCCAACTCCAGTCTGCTCACCACCGCTAAAATGTCCTTCAACCTCCCGCCCCCAGCCTCGCCATCGACCTCCGGCCTCGACTTCGCCGACAAACCCTATCACACGTCGCGCATCGACCCTTTAACCCGCTTCCATGAGGATGTAGCCCAGGTCCGACGCTGGGTCGAGGACAATTTGTCGGTACGTAATGCTCACCAATTCCACCGACAGTAACGTGAACTGATCCAATCTAGAACTTTTCCCACCTAAACGAGATAATTGTCCTTCGACTCGGTTCAGACACGCTCCCCCACCAGCATCTAACCATCGATGCAACTACTGTTCCGCCCGTCCTAGCCACAACTATCCCCTCCACCCTCCACAAGTCCATAACCATCCTGCCAGAGTACATCCTCGACGCAATCGAGGGGCGCATGCACAGCCAACATGCTTTCGGAAAACGCGCCACGCCGCCCACCCATGGCGTCATACCTTCCTGCTTCGCGCCCGCCGGTGTTCCGGAGCCTTGCATGGCCGTAGACTCCAAGACGCTGCCAAAGCCGACAGAAGACGTGGCGCAGCTGAAGCGCGATTTGACGACATGGGGGTATGCAATCTGCGCAAATGCGCTGAGCACCGAGCAGGTGCAGATTATTCGGACCGCGGTGGAGGAGCAGGCCGAGGCAGAGAGGCTGGTCGGGGTCGGGCATTTGGATACCGCGCACAAGAAGGCCGGGGATCAGCCAAATCAGCGGGTTTGGTCAGCTGCCCTTGTTTTCTTTTTGGTTTGTTTTTGGTTTTGAGCTACGGTACAGATGCTGATGTGAGACGACCAAAACAGGAACCTCCCCAACAAAGGCGACGAGTTCCTCGACCTGCTTAACCACCCACTCATTGACGCCGTCATGCCGTGGTTCTTGGGCGGCAACTTCAGCCTCTTCACCATGTCGGCCAACATCGCGCGGCCCGGCACGTCGGGAATATACATGCACCGCGACCAAATGGTCATGACGCCGGACACGACCGCGCATGCATACGTGCTCAACTCCATGTGGTATTTGACTGACGTTTCCGATGAGAAAGGTGCCACGCGGGTGTATCCGGGTAGCCATCTAACGAATGTTTTGCCGACTAGTATAAATCATGTTGTACGTTTGGGTTTTTTCTTTTCTTTTTTTTTTTTTTTTTTTTTTTTTTTTTTTTGGCTGTTTTCTTCTTTTTGTTGTGGTGAGCCTGGGACAAAAAAGCTAATATATGACATTAAAGGGCACGTCGGTCCCTATCGCAGCACCAGCAGGCTCATGCGTGCTCCTCGACAGTAGAACCTGGCACTCGACGGGCGTCAACACGACCAACGAGGCGCGGCCCGTTATCCTACAGTCTTTTTGCAGGTTCTTTATCCGGCAGATTGAGAGCTACCAGGCTATTCTGAGCGACGACGTCAAAGCCAAGTTGTCGGAGCGCCAGAGGGCGCTGTTAGGTTTGCCGAGTTTGAAGCCCGTTGGCAAGGGACAGGGGTTTGCGGTGTATAATTGGCCGGGCACGCAGGTTGGGAGAATGAGGGTTGCGGTTGGCAGGCAATAGATTTGTTGTTGGTGCTCAGGAAGGGTTTTGACAGTGCAGGTAGACAATGAGATTTATGATGCGTACAGATCCTCGAGACAACCACCGTATCATGCGCTTGGTATGTTGACCAACCTCCGCATCAAATGCTGCATTCACTAGACCACACCAGCAGCCATCTATCAAACTAATCAGTCACGGACAGCACCGTCACGTCTACCCGACATGCTTGTTCCTCAACATATCCTTCCCAGGAATAGTCCCCTCCGGAACCCCATGCTTCCTCGCCCAAGCCTGCCAGTCCGGCCTGGCAAATAACTGATCCCACTCTACGATTGCATCTTGGTTCAAAAAGTCTGCGCGGCCATCCTCGTCCAGCAACGTCGCTATTCACAGTCAGCCAGCTTCTTCCACAACAAATGACCCAGCGGTCTTCATAGTACATACCGTAAAGAGGATGAGGAGCAACTACAAGCAGAAAAAAAAGAAGACAAAAACGTCAGTACATTTGTTCGTGGTTTGTGGTAGATTGTGTGATGCTTACCCTGCCCGAGATTATCTTTCCCAGTCGGAACGATCTGGTTGCGCCCAGCCCACTCCATGATGCGGTCCCAGTTCGCGCACGTGTGCCGCGCCCCGTTCCAGTTGACAACGGGCGCAACCTCGTTGACCACCCAGTGCAGTGACAGCGGGGACATATCTGGGTGGCATTTGAGTGCATCCATTAGGCGGTGGAGGCAGTGGTCTGATTTTGGTTAACATGTAGTCCGACGTCAAAGAAAAAAGGGAGAAGAGAGTGCGTGAGGGAGCGAGGGAGACGGATTGGAACCTACGCAAATGACTGCTATGGGACTTCTCCTCCGCCTCGGTCATGTTGTGGTAGTAATGGTCCCTGTGCAGGCCATTATACAAATATTTCTGCCATTCTTCGTCAGCGACCATCCAACAAACCATGGTCAACATACAACGCAGTGCAGGTTGTGCCCAACCCACACACTCCCATAACTGCGACCGTCAGTCTTTTATCATGCCATCCCAGCATAATTGCAAACGTACTATTCACCAACATCGTCATCCAGCCAAATGGACCCCTCCTCAATCCCCAGCCTGCGTATCTCGGCGCTTGGGACGCGATTGCGGAATGCTTTTTGATTTTCGTCAGCGAGATCTCAACCATGCAGGCTTCAGGCGGGTGGTACTCGATAAGAGCGCATTCCAATTCCCATCCAGCTCCGGCCGTGGAGCGCCCAAGTAAGGATGATGCTCGTCCGGCTCCTTGTGGTCGGCGGGAACCTCCTCATATTCTAGAACATCCTACTCAATGTCAAAACATCAATCACTCAACACAATATTACGGGGCATTGCCGCGCGACTTACCCAAGCGCGGAACCGATCCGGCGCCGCGACGCCTGGACACACAGTTTTGTAGTACAGCTCCCGCGCGGCGAGAAGGACTACTACTGTGTACACAAGTTGCGCCAGCACCGCGAGCACAACATACGTGTACCAGGTCTTGCGTTTGCGGGCGGGCGGCGGAGGTTGGACGCCGTCCGGTGTCAAGGGGTACTGCTCCGGTTCGCCATCGCTGGCGTAATCGGGGCTGTAGGAGGAGAGAGAGGCGTATTGGTCCTTGTGCATTTTTTTCTTTTTCTCTGGTTGATGTTTTGTGCGATAGTGGGAGTGCTGAGTGAAGGGAATGGGGTTCGTATTAAGAGGGTGCCACAATGGTGGATTGAGACGTTGGGGGTTGGTAAGTAGGTAAGGGTAGATATCACAAAGCTAGGAGGTGGTTAAACGGGATGCTTTTAACGGGGTTGTACGTGGCTTATATTGGAGTGGGCAATGTGGATGTGCGCCTGGCGGAAGTGAGGCATGATAGATACACACGTGCATCTCCTTAGTACCTAGCAAAAAGTAGAGCTAGCAGAAAAGGGAACTCTCCTATATATAGTAGTTAGGTCTAAAAGCAAGAGTTTTATTATATATAGCGTACTAATTAATATGCTTATATGACTAGGTGCTTAGTAAAGCATTTAAGTTAATAAAATATATATTATAACGTGCTTATCTATTAATACTATATATTTTATAGTTAGCTTTTAGATAATAAAGTCTCTTAATAAAAGTTAGATATTAATATATAGTAGTAGTATGCTAAAGCTATAGTTTAAGTTGCACTATATATAAATCTTAGAATTATTATCTATTACTAGAGGCTACTTATTTAATTTTATATAAGTAATATAAGAGAAGAGAACTTAATAAGTTTAAATAATATTAAACTTTAAATAAAGGCTTATAGCTATTTACTATTATTTTTTCTTACTTAGAGTAGTAGGCTTCTTAACTCTATACCTCCTAATAATATATATAGTTTTTAGTTATATAATTATAGCTTTCCTAACTTTAGCTATATATATATTAATAAATTTACTATTTTTAATAACCCTTTAGTAGTAATATAACTTATAATTACTTTACTACTTAATTACTTAAATACTACCTATTAAATAATTAACTTACCTTCTCTCTTATATATTACTTATATTATTATTAAATACTATCTCTATTAAGCTTATATTTAAGCTTAAGCTATATCTATATTAGTATTATAGAGAGTTTATATAAAGAAAAGCTAGTCTTTAAAATAGCTAGAGATATATATAGCTTCTGCTTTAAAACTATTAAAAGTATTTATTACTTTAATTATAGTATAGAAAAGGTCTTTATTAGAAGTAATCTTAAAAGCTCTATTTAATACTACTATAATAAAGTACTTTTAATTAGAATTAGAGTATTTAATAAAGCTAAAAGCTTTATTTAGTATAAAAACATTATTTTGTTTATTAATATCTTTAGCTATTTTCTCAAAGAAGGTATACTTACTATAAAGTTAGTATTCTTATATTCTATATATAGTATAAATATTATAAAGAATTTATTATAAATAAAAAAAGAAGAGGGATAAATATAATGCTTTATATATAATAGTAAAGCTTTTATTTCTTTAGCTATATAAACTTCTTTTAATAACCTCTTAAGTTAAGAAGTTATCTCTTATATAGTAGTATTATTAAGCTATAAAAGCTTTAATAACCTATTTAAATTAAATATAATTAACTTTATTATATATAATACTACTAGCTTTATACTATATAGCTAGTACTATTACTATTCTACTAGTTTATTTAGCTAAAGTATATATTTAACTATATAATAATTAGAAGGTTTACTTATTAATAGGAATATATAAGGTTTCTATATTATTTACCTTAATTAGTAGAAAGTATAAGTAATATATAACGTAGTGAAGGTGTTTACTACCTTTAGCGTAATAGGCACCCTAACCACGCTTAATATAATTAACGCAATTAGCGCGTTAAACGTAGTAAAGGCCCTTAAGGCTTTCAAGGTATTTAACACGCCTAAAGCCTTAAACATAGTTAACCTTCTTAATATATATATTACTATAACTATATTACTAATATAATATATATTAATTAGTAGTATAACCTTAATAGTTACTTACCTCCCTTAAATTAAAGAAGATAGCTAACTTTATATTAATAGTTAACCTTATTAAGTTTAATAATTAAGTTCTAGTATATAGCTAATCTTATAAAGCTTAAATAATAATAATATCGCATTAAACTCTTCCTCTAACTAGGAATATCCTAAAAAGATATAAAACCTCACTATTATACTTTAGATAATATTAACTAATCTTAAAGTAGTAGAAAACCTTAAAGCTAAATTACTTAAGCCTATTAGCTATATAATAATTACTAACTTTTAAGCTATTTATAAAAACTACCTAGAGAAGTTTTATAAAATATTTATTCTAACTAAATATTTACTATTTAACTTTAGTATATAAGCTATAATTTTAGCTATAGCTTATAAGGGATTTAAACGCTATATAATAAACTACTATAGATAAATCTAAACTATAAACCTAAAAAGAAAAGCTTATATTAACACTATAAAACTTAAAAACTAAATATTAAAGACTTAGAGAGATAATCCTAATATATTTACTAACTTAATTAAATAATAGTATTATCTTAATATACTATATTATATAAAATATATTAAGATTAAAAACACTTTAGGATAAGAACTTAACCTCACTTTACTTTTTAGTAATAATAGAAAAATAGAGGGTTATAAGACCTTAAATACTAGCTATATAGAGAAACTAAAAAGCTTAGAACCTTAATATTTAGTTAATATTCTATCTTAAGATTAAGAATTAATAGTAGTTCTATTAACTTTAGAGGAATATATTAACTTTAGATAAAAATTCTTAAATACTTTAAGATCCTTACCTCTAAAGTTAGAAACACTAAGTAATTAACTATTAATACCTAACTTAACTACTAAAACCTTAATTATATTATTAGAATAATTAACTATTATAATAGTAGATACTATTTATTATATAACTAAACTTCCTTCTAGCTAAAGCTAAAATAGTATATTAGAATCTAATAATATATAGAGTTATTATAATTAAGGATAGTCTTAGCTTATTTATTTTAAACTTTAGCTTACCTTATTAACTATACTAAAAAGAAAAAAGCCTATATTTAATAATAATATCTAAGAGTAAACTAAGGATATAAAATAGGTCTCTACTCTATAAAGAGATCTAAGTAATAATAATAATAGAAGTAATCTTAATAATAAGAAGAACTATAAAGATAAAGATTATAATAAAAGAGGAAGTAATAGAAACTAACTAAACTACTACTCTTTTAAAGCTTAATAGAGGCTTATTAAGTTAGGATAGTCTAATAATAGAATATCTATTAATTATAACTTTCTATTTATACTTATTACTTTAAATAGAGACTATATTATCTATATATTATCTAGCTCTCCTATAGATAATATAAGATATTTACTATTATAATTTAAAATAGATATAATTAGCTTATTTAATCTACTCTTATATAATAATAAAGTAGATAATATCTATATTAATAGAAGTTTTAAGATAGTTTACTAAAATATATATCGCTTTATTAACGCTATTAATAGTTATATTAAATCTAATAATAG